AATACAGTTAAAAAGGGCATCCATTGGTCTGGTGTCATCAGGAGACACAGAGATGTACAGCTGAGTGTCATCAGCGTAACTGTTAAAGTTATAACCACTGTTAGGAAACTGGTAAATAGACTGGTGCTAATATAGGTATTTCCTACTCCAGTTAACCACCCGACACAAATTCATTCAGTGCTGTGCCTAAGCAGCACGTCTAACACTCACACATGCTCATTTATCCTCTGATGAATGCATCAGTATTCCAGTGTCTTTAGAACAGGTACTGTCAATATAAATGCTGACAATTGGAAAAAGACACAATTCATTAGACAGTTTAAAGTTTTTAGACAACAGAAATTACAACCAACAAATGTACGGTCATTTACAAGATGGTAGGTTTGATTAGGAAAGTCAGCGTGCAGACAAGGTGTTTGTGCGGAGGACCCAAATGCAGATGCATGGAGGCGGGGTGCGTTCAGCAAAAAGCAAGCTGTTTATTGGCTGATGACGAAGATACCAAGTACAAACATAAAGTTCACAAAGGGAATTTAAATCTTGGACAATCCTGGGAACAGTGAACAGACAAACTGACAAAGGCCAAGACAAGTGTGGAGAACACATCACAGGTGAACTAGACTGCAGCAGATGAGCCAAGGGAAGCAAAAACTGAAAACAAAGCACCACGACAACAGCTCACTAACATCAAACAGGAAATGTGAAAACTGAAATCCTGCTGATATTTAGGGCAGATCAAGCCTAACCGGACTGCAACAGCCTGATGAATCTGTTTGTGTTCCATGATGCTATGAAAAATGGATGGATGTGTGCACGTTCACTATAATGCTGCACTTCTCTCTGGATAAGCTGGACACCCGATACTTTAAGAGTGCCTCAGTTTTCTGTTGCATGTCTTGATTCTGGAATAATTAACGGAAGCTGTGAGAACTTTGAGGACTGCTCTAATATCTGTCCTTCAGCCTGCACTGATATCTTGGACTCCACTCAGACTGTCTGCGCTAAGCCATTGTCAGAGCCATGGTTCAGTGAACATAGGTGCACCCTTAGACATGATTGTAGATGTGCTGAAGGTAGATGGAAGAAGGATAGGATGTATGTTTCTATAAAGATACTTAGGGACTGTCTCTCTGTTTACCAAATAGCCACAAGCCTAATCATATCATCAGTACAAGTAATAATGTTGGAGCTTAGTATGTGTGAGGCAGTAGGTGACGAGACACAAGACCTAATAGCTGAAACTTGGTCAGTAAAAAATGCCAAAAAAATCGTCAGTGTTCCTCCTGTGTGCTCAGCTGTCTTGGAGCAGTTTGAGCCTGTTTCCCTGAGTTAAGGATCCGTGGTAGTTCATCGCCTAAGATAATCACACTGCCCATCAGATCGTCTCCCCCCAAACCTCCTTAAACATAATTGGGCTTTATATCCAGAAATTAATTGACACTTTGTGTCCCATCATTTTTTAAACAGCCTCTTCTTAAAAATCACACTGTGGACCCAACTGTTCTGGTTAATTACAGGCCAATCTTGAAGCTCCCCTTTCTTTCAAAAGTTCTAGAGACAGTGATCTGCTTACAGTTGGAGGCTCACCTTGATCTTAATGAGATCTCTGAAAAGTTTCCGTTTGGTTCTAAATCACTACACAGCACTGAGACAGCACTTTTGAATGTTTTAATGACATTTTCTTAACTCTGGGTTGTAGCAGCCCTGCTGCCCTCTTGATGTTGAGCCTTTTATCCTTTCACTGTAAGACAAATGTTAAAAACCTCGGTGTGCTGTGATGCTTCCTTCAAACTGTGTAGGCAGGTGAGCGCAGTAGTCCGATCTAGCTTTTTCCATCTGAGACAGGTAGCCAAGGTAAAGCCAGACCTTCCAGCTAATGTCTTTCAGTGTGTTATTCATCTCTTCATTATGTGAAGATTACTGCCATTCTCTGCACAGGCCTCTCTTTATCATCTCCAGTTGGTCCGAAATGCCGCCGCTCGTCTGCTAACTGGCATTAAAAGGAAGGAGCCTGTGACCCCAGTGTTGGCCTCTCTACACTGGCTTCCTGTTCCTCATAGGATCCAAATTTAACTTTTTGTTTTTAAATCACTGAACAGTCGAATCCGGTCTTACCTGTCTGAGCTCCAGAAAGAACCACGAGGTCCAGGTCAAAACGAATGCTATCCATTTCACAGTCTTAAATCTGGTGGCAACAGAGCCTTCTCCGTGGCAGGTCCCAGACTCTGGAAGAGTCTGCCTCTACATATTAGATCTACACATGTTTGGGTTAGCACACACTGACCCAAACCTCTCTTTGTTTTAACAGCCTTAGTCATTGTTGTTGTAGTTGGTTTTTGTGTCTAATGGTTTTATTCCTTCTCTTTTATTGCATCATTTTTGTGCATTTTAATTTGTAAAGCATAATGTGCAGCATGAGCAGCACTGTGGTAGGCAGTGAGCAGAGGGCCCAGTAGAGGACGTCGGGCCCTCAGGCCACGATCATGAAATCCATTTCTAATTGTTTGGTCTGAGACATTGACACTGGTGGCCTGCTGGAGGGCATCCTGTAGAGCTTTGGACATGCTCATTTTCTTTGTCCTTGCACAAATGAGGAGATATCAGTCCCCCCGATCGGTTAAAGGCTTCTACAGCCCCGTCCAACTCTCCTAGAGTAACTCCCTGTCTCCTGGACTCTCCTCCATGCTCTTGAGACTGTGCTGGGAGACACAGCAAACCTTCTGGCAATGACACATATTGATGTGCCATCCTAGAGGAGTTGTACTACCCGTGCAACCTCTGTAGGGTCCAAGTATCTCCTCATGCTACCAGTAGCAATGCTCACCCTATCCAAATGCAGAAATACTGATAAAACAGTCAGAAAAGATGAGGAGGGACAAATGTCAGCGGCCTCCACCTGTAAAACTATGCCTGCTGATTATTTCATTAACTCCAAAGCTGCTGAAACTGATAAACTCCTTTGGTACTCAACTGACCAGGTAATTACCTCAGAAGTTTAACTGACTGTACTCTGATAAAAACTGTTCTTTTAATTGTATTTTGGAGCAGTATATTTAAGTTACGATAAGGTACGATCGTGGCTCAAGTGTTGGCAGTTTGTCTTGTAATCGGAAGGTTGGCGGTTCGAGCCCTGGCTCGGACAGACTCGGTCGTTGTGTCCTTGGGCAAGACACTTCACCTACCGCCTACTGGTGTTGGCCAGAGGGGCCGATGGTGCGATATGGCAGCCTCGCCTCTGTCAGTGCGCCCCAGGGCAGCTGTGGCTACACCTGTAGCTGCCTCCAACAGTGTGTGAGAGTGAAGTGAAATTTATTTCGGTCAACAACACAGATTATCATTTTACATAAAAGTACTCAATCATACAGCCTGTGGCTTATAATTATCCTATCCTTTACCCCATAGGAATAATCAAATCCTTAGCCAAGAAAATAAATAGCATTGACAAATAAGTTATATAACGGTTTGAAAAGAAATCAATGATAAATCAAGAAATGAAATCAACACAAAGTTATTCATCAAACCAAATTTCCATAAGCTTGAATGATACAAATTTTTAAATTCTTCCTGAAAAATGACAAAGAAAAACACATCTTCAGTTCATCATTAAGTCCATTCCATAATTTCACTCCCAAAACTGGCACATCTATACCTAACATTGGTTTCCACTTTAGGTATTTCAAACTTATAAGACCCCCTCAAATCATATTTTCCATCTCTTAGTTTAAACATACTTAGAATACAAAGTGGAACATTCTTTTTCATCACTCGATATATCATTTCTAAAGTTTTACAATACATAATGTCCATGAATTTTAACATAGATGATCCTACAAAAACTGGTTGGTGGACTCCCTATACGCAACTTTATTTATTATTCAGATTGAATGAATAGTGGAATTGTAAAGCGGTTGAAAAGCACTATATAAATGCAATCCATTATTATATGTGGCCAAATAGCATTAAGTAAAAACTAGCTTTAATTGTGGCATATAAAAACAGTGTTTGATCTTTGTCTAATCATATCTACATGTCTACAAGAAATGTGTTTTTTTGTCTTGTTTTATTGATCATTCATGAACCTTCTAGTAAATTGAACAGAATAGATGTCACTATAAGAATGATGTGATGTTTCTTTCTATTTAGATTTGCAAAGTATTTTAAGATGGAAAATGGGACTGACTACCGCACTCTGGTCAAAGCCTATGCTATCAGGTTTGACGTCTTGGTCAATGGAAATGTGAGTGTGTAGTTTCACTGTCAGTTCACTGAATAAAGAAGTTTACATCCACTTACCTTTATTTCACAAACACATTAATGATACAGGAATATAAATATGTGTGTAATTTTTTAAAATATATTTTTAAATGATACATCTATAGTCTTGATTGTCATGTTTCTGTTGTTGTTTGTGAATAAAAGAAGAAAACACAAAACACCAGGACTTTTTTGTATCGATCTTCTCCAGGAAACTGAACCTGACTCATACTCTTGTTTTGCAGGCAGGAAAGTTCAACATGATCCCTACACTCATTAACATGGTTGCAGCCTTTACATCAGTGGGAGTGGTGAGTTAACGTTTAGATTTAATCAAATCGTTATAAATGTTTAATTCAGGAGTTTTGTTAAGATTAGTCAATTCTAAAAAGCAAAAGTTTTCCTCTTATCTTTTTCTACCCTTTAAAAAGGAAAATGGAAAGCCTGACATAAAAAATTTTGGTCTAAGAACTGAAGGTGGCTTTGAAGCAGCTTACACCTCAAATGTAAGCCAAAAATCAGGAAGGGGTCTTTATTATTAAGTGGAAAAAATCCAGAGCTACTTGGCCCTGTGTGAAAAGTTCATTGTCCCCTAAGCCTAACAACTGGTTGGGAATTTGAACAGATGTGCGGACATTCTCCATCATGTTTTGGTAAACAGCAGAAGTCGTGCTTCCATTTACCACAGCAAGTCTTCCAGGTGCTGATGCAGCAAAACAGCCCCAGAACATCACGCTGACACCAACATATGTTACTGTGGTATGATGTTTTCTGAAATGCTGTTACTGTTACTCCAGATGTAATGGGACACACACCTTCAACATTTGTCTCGTCAGTCCACAGAGTGTTTTTCCAAAAGCCTGGGGGACCATCAAGATGTTTTCTGGTAAACAAGCCTTTATGGTTCTTTTGCTCAGCAGTGGGTTTCGTCTTTGAACTCTGCCATCTGGGCAACAATGGCCTGCATGGCGGAGTCATGAACACTGACCTTAACTGAGGCAAGTCAGGCCTGCAGTTCTTTGGATGTTGTTCTGGGCTCTTTTGTGACCTGCTGGATCAGTCGTTGCAGCACCTTTGGGGTATCTTTGGTCAGCAATCAATTTTTCACTCAGAGCCATGTAGGTTTGGGTTTTATTTCCCCGTAATAATAAATACCTTCATTTTGTGTACTTGTGTTATCTTGGTAACTGGACTGGTTCTTACCGAGCACTTTTCCACTATAACAGCTTTTTCTATTTAACATTCACACACATTCATTTTCCAATGGATGCATCAGAGAGGAGCTTGGGGTTAGTATCTTTCCCAAGGACATTTGGCATGCAGACTGGACCAGCCAGGGGAACAAACCACCAGCCTTACAAGTAGTAGGTGACCTGCTCTACCACCTGAGTTACACCCCCCCCTTAAATTGGTGTGGTGATCCGAAACATTTAAGTGTGACAAACATACAAAAAATAGGAAATCATGAAGGGGGCAAACATGTATTCGCACCACTGTGTGTGTGGTGTCCCTATCCCATGAAAATAAAAGCCTTTTATTACATATTAAAACCTATCAGAAGTTCCTGGACCACAGTCTTTCCAATTTTCTTTATTACTGTAATTCCCTTCAATGACCATTATTGTTTCTTCTTACTTTCTAATTTAGATTTAAAGAATGTTTTGAAAATGCTCATGAAAGTGAGTTCATGAGCATTTTCTGCATCTGAAATTAGAGAAGATCCATTAATGTCATCGTTGTCAGTCAAAAATATATCAAACATCTGCAACTGCTTCTTTTCAGGATGAAACAACCAACATGTGCAACACCGCTTCATTTTTCCAAATTAAGGGACATTCATATCATTAGTTTATTTGCTGTTGTTTTCTAAACTTACAATAGATTTTCTATGTTTAGACCCGAACTCTTTCATGGCATGCATTTTTAAACTCTCTTTGCTATTTAGGCTGTTTGGGACCTGATTAATGTAAAAACAAAGAATTACCAGATTTTTTTTACCTGATTTTTCTTTCTGAGAGAAATGAGATCCACATATGAGGATATTTGCTTTAAATTTTGATAGAACAGAGGCAGTATAATGTCCTCGTAATTGGAAATCATGCCCTTGTAGAGCAACATTTTGTATTTTGGTCTAGACATCCCAAAATGTGATGTCCACATATGTGGACGCCAGGTCCTAGGAAGTTAATATATTTATTTAGGCCACTTATATTTGGAAGCCAGGATTATTAAATAAATACATAATGGGTTACATTTGAGGTGTGATTAAAAAAAGTCCCAAATTGATGAATATTGACAAAAAGGTAAAGCATCCATGATGCTTCACACAAAATTTTGGTTAGGTTGGAAAAGAGGTTGATTTTATTTCTCAGTAGAAGTTCAAGGTTAGTGGGGAAATCAGTGCTCAGTGTTCAGAAACAGACAGCTAGAGAACAATCTGAAAATAGCAGCTGTGCTTGAAGATGTCTGCACATGTCCTAGAAAATGATCTTGAACTGGTGATCATCAAAAATTCAATCAGGTTAGACTTTTGATTTTTATTGGCCTTAAATACCAGAAAAAATGAACTGAAACTAAATGGAAATGAAGCTGTGGACCAAGGGGTGGTGACAAGTGACATTTTGGAGGTTGAAGGGGCTTGCTTGTAATTATTATTATTATAATTATTATCATTATTATTATTACGTAGGGCACAGTGCTGTGTGACATCATACTGCTCAACTTCCTGAAAGGTGCGGAGCAATACAAGGCCAAGAAATTTGAAGAGGTAAAATACCCAGCTCTTAATCACGTTTTAATGTGCACGTTATCTGATTTTTATTGGTGACCATGTTGCTGACATGTAAGGTTAAAACATTATTACATTAAAACACAAAAAGGCTCAAAGTTCAGCAGAATGCAATTTGGAAAAAGTGCGTTTTAAAAAATGGTTATAAAAAGGACACCCAGCTTGAACCCCTTTCACTTTTGGCAAGTCATTAAAATTCTTGGGGTCTTAGATCATATTTAACTCTTGACTCTCTTTTCTGAACTAATCAGATTTCAGGCCTGCTTAAAGAACAACTGTTGCGGGTTCAGATATTGAGGGTGAACACAAAAACAATAATGGTCCAGAAGAGCTTCGGTCAAACAATGATTTTAATGAACACATGCGTGGGGAGATGAACACTGCACAAAGACAGCATCGATCTCCAAATGGTGGAGCATTACTCAAACTCTTATAGCCACTGTTGACCCCCACCTAGTCGTAAAAGCCTAAACATTCACATTTTCCTAACTCCTAGCGAGCCTGACTTATGGCCTTGGCTCCCTATTTTGTCTGCCTTTAACAACGGTGGGAGTGAAGCTCCCGTGGAATGTGCTCTGTCTCCTCTACTATCAGAAAAAGCAAAGTCCTGACTCTCTGAAAACAGGATTTCTTATAACTCAGCAGTATAGGGAGTGCAGAATTATTAGGCAAGTTGTATTTCTGAGGAATAATTTTATTATAGAACAACAACCATGTTCTCAATGAACCCAAAAAACTCATTAATATCAAAGCTGAATGTTTCTGGAAGTAGTTTTTAGTTTGTTTTTAGTTTTAGCTATTTTAGGG